TATTACTTCACGAAATTTTTTTCGTAATAAAACACCATTTTTACAATTTCAAAAAAAAAAAAAATCTGAATTTAATTTCGCAAATTTTTGAATTTAAGCGTAATTTAAATGCAATTTCTGAATTTAAGGTAACCTTATGAATAGTTTCTCCAATGATTCAAAATTGAGAAAAAAAGACTTAGGTGAAAGATGAATTCTAAAAAAAAATAAAACACTGATAAAATATAAAAACATATGATATCAACAATTAAAAACATATGATATCAACAATTGGTAATTTATAGTGCAAATATAATTGTAATCAAGAATATGAACATCGACGAAAAATTGAGAATGATTTGGAAATATGCGAGAGAACAAAAAAAGAAATGGAATTAAAATTGGAATTAATGAAGAAAGAACGTGACAGAGAATCAAATGCAATGCAAGAGTATGCTTGAAAAAAAAATTTTAACCTAATTTTTTAGTTTTTTTTTTTTAATCAATAAATAATAGCCTGATATGGTAGCTAGAAAAGATTAAATGATAATTGACATTCAGCATATTTCATTAATTAATTCAATAGCAAAACTTTGTTACAATATTTGTATGATAAAATACAATTTGAAATTTATGGCACATTTTCAGGAAGCATTTTAAACTAAAGTACTTTCAAGTTGAAATTCGATAGATACAATTTTTTAAAGTTTCCAACAATTGTTGTCTGCTTTGTCGATAAAAAAAAAAAATTTAGACATTTGCTTTTTTTCCTTTTATTTTGATTTAGCTAAATTTTACTTCAAACAGAATTATAAAGTGCATCTTTTACAGTGTCATTGTTTTTTTTTTTTTGTACAAGTAAAAAAATAATTAAAGTGATATGCATAAAGTTGAAATCTATATATTTCAGAATAACATTGAACAAAGCTTTGTTATTCGTTTACCATTTCATGAGAATCGCGAAAATATGGGAATAAAAACCGTGAAACTGGCACTTTCTTTATATTAATTCGTAATCCACGTTCTGCTGTTTGCCGCAACTTAGCTTTTGACAATTTCTGCAAAAATATTTCTAGGAGTATGAAAAGAATTCATGAAGAGGAAAATCTTACAAAAAATACGAGAAAATTTACTTGTGCTTCACGATTCTTAGATATAGCTAATGTAACACGCCGGATCAAATTCTGTAAAGTTTCATTAAATGCTTCATTGACTGCTAGCAGAGTATTCAACTCATCCATAGTGACTGGTAGATCATTTCCACTATTAACACTCTAAAAACTTTTATTATATCCATACCGATGCGATTATTTACTCACAAGTATACTATATACATATATATACATATATATATATATATATATA